TGTGTGTGTGTGCATTTTCTTTTTTCCCACCGCATTGATCCAGTTTGTGTAGCACCCCGCCAGCAAACATGACTGAACACACCCTGGTGAGCCACACTGTAGCACTGGGGTAACGTGTTCCTTCATTACTGTGAACACATGCACTCCAGTTCATCTTTGAGCCAGTCTCACATTGGACTGCTGTTTCACAGTAGCTGAAAACCCCATCGTTAGTCTTTTTGTGGGATCAGTTAGAATAAGAAAAATACTCGCAGGCCTATCCTTGCTTCACATGAGTGCGGTAAAGATTTTAGTGTTTGATGCTTTAGTTTAGGGGTTAAAACATAAACACTGCTGCACATGTGCTGTACCTATTGTGTTAAAATAAAGGTGATCTGTAGATCAGTAAATTGTGATGAAGCAGTGATTGTTTCCATTCTTTCTAAGTCTGTAGGAGCTGAGTGGAACAGGCGACAGCTTCGACTGAGGAATGAGGCCAAAAAACCAATATCTTTGTAAGATTTCATTCATCAGTGGGAGCTCATTTTCTCTATTAGTCCCTTTTATGATGCAAATTTGTCACACACCTTCCTGTTTTTTTGGTTTGTTCAGCTGCAGTACATATCCAAGATCAGGTCAGATCCCTCTGTACACGTGAGTATTTTATGTTTGAGCTGCCACCACACAGAGTACTGTACAAAATCTTGGGGTCCTTTAGCTCTTTAATACCTGCCACATTTATTCTGCTGCATGATGTCTTTAACCTGCTGCTACCATGAAACACTGAGCAACTTTAAACAGAAAATGTTTTAGGTGATCCTGTTTTGATCCTGCTATTTTCTTAGCGGCGCAGTATTTTGTTTGAATCCAGCTACTCTGCATATTTTCTCTGAGCACTGACCTTTGCGTTCATTACTGAGTGGGCTCTCGTGTATGTGCAGTGGCACCGTCGGCTCTGAGAACATGGATAACATTGACAACAAGGATGAAGACTTCCACCCACTGACAATAAAGAGGAGCGTCGTTCCTCCATGCATGCCGACAGCACGGTGAGACTCGCTGTCATTGTACACATGAAGAGCGTGGCATGTGGAAAAAAGCAGAGGTTTTTTTAATGGAAATTATTCTAAAAACAAAGTGGACTTAGACTGTGAAGCCTGTTAGTGTGTTTCTTATTTATCGATGGACCAGTATAACACTTTTAGAATAATTATGAACTTCATCTAAACAAGTCTGAAGCTTCAACAAATAACCACTAGAGCATTTTAATTGGTTTATTTCAAACGTAGTTAGTCAATTTGCACAAGTGTATTGCTATTGGCCAGGCTGAATAAAACATCCACCTTGTTGACAGGTGTTTGCTTTGTTCTCTGCTTTCCTGTGAGCGAGTCATCTGCAGCACTCTGCCCGTCTTTAGCCATCATCTGTTAAAATGTCCGCACAGACAGGGAGGAGAGCAAGTCCTAACTTGTTATTCATGCTGTGCATGTCAAGTTAGGATTGATTTTTTTTTTCCAAGTCGAAGTGTGGCTCCTCTGTGGACTCGTTGCTGCACCATCAGTTGGAAAGCCAACAAGCAGGGAGCGTCACATTTTTTGCAGGCTGCAGTTCAACAAGTGGAAATAAGACATTCCAGATCTCACCAGATTTCACCTTGTAGGGAATTCTAATCTAAATGATCAGTCATGTGCATGGCGCTGACATTTAGAAGTGTCTACGGTTTTATTTTTTGATCTGCTGCTCTGAATGCTTTTATTTTGCTCTTTTTTTTTAGCTTCCTGTATTGTTTCCAGGCTGAAACAGCCTGTTGGGGCTTGGTAGAGTGCTGAAAAGTGATGCAAGGATCAAGGTAGCTTGGAAACAGGACCAAGATACTGTCATGCTGTCAGTCTGTTTTCTGATTTTGTTGTTGAAATCTCAACTTTAAGCACTAAAGATCAGTATGGCGAGGTGGCAGGTGGTGGTCGTCCTCATTCAGGATAAAACAAAAATGAACCAGAAGCAAAAACATGCAGACCTGATGGGTTGAATGCCATCTACACACACACACACACACACACACACACACACACACACACACTTTTTTTTTTTTACATGTCAGATGTAAAAAAAAATGTGTTTTTTTGTCTCATTGTGTATATAATATCTTTTCCTTGTGCCAGCCGAACCACCATCCCTGGCTACACAGGCATGGCTGCCTATGCTGACTCTGCTGCTCCTGCAACTTCTGCAAGCTCATCTGGGTGAGTCTGAATGAAACTCTGATAACAGACTTCCGTTGTTATTGCTAACTGATTATGTCCTATAAAATATAACATTTAAAAAGTATATAATATATATATAGTCTGTATTGTTTATCTTGTCATCTTGTGAAATAAGTAAGTCATAAATTTGTGGGTTGATTGAGTTTATCATTTTACTATTTTGCACACCTTGATATTTCTTTCTCCAGCATTTTATCCTGTTAGAAAAAAAAAGCAAACATCACAATTCTCCACTAGAGGGCGGTCTAATGCAATCCATAGACATGAGGTTGCACTCTTAACTTCACCATACAAGTGCCCATTATTTACTGGTGTCTATGAAAATGTGACTACAACTCGCCACAGTGGCAGAAATACACACAAATGACAATACTTTCAGCTTACCTTATATATCAAAGTGTAGCCAGAGCAAATGCCTTTATTTGAGCTTGAGACTGGCCCTGGGAGCACACTAACTCCTGAGGTTAAGTTTGTATCACCCCTAAGAGTCAAACTGGGGACCTTTTAGATGTGGGGTGCACGTGTTAACCACTACACCACAGAGCCAAGCAAAATGCAAAAAATATGCATAAACATGCGTGCAGTCTGGAGAAAAATAAACCAAAGAGCATGAAATTAGTAAAACTGAAAGAGCGGACACTGTTTTAGGGAAATGGGCAGACAAGATAAAAACAGTGTCAACAAAACAGCTAAGAGAAATAATATAAATCCTGAATAATCACCATTTTCTAATGCTCCTACTTTTTAATTTGATTTGTTGTTGAACTTTATCTTTTTTTGGGTGCTGTACATATTTGAGTGGCATTGCTTAAAAGCTTAGTATACCTTATTTTTTGCATGAGTGGGCAGGTGAGGTGCAGGTTAATGGTCAGTTGGAAAAGGCTTCAGTAATTGGAAATGTTAAAAAACAGATTAAAAACAACGGCCGTCATTCCTAAAGACAGACAGGTAGGAATTTGAGAGATGTTATATGTGTTGTAGGGGAGGATTTCACTGATGATTTTCTAAAATTGAGCAAATTTCATCAAAAGAAACTGAAAAGGTTTATTTAAAAAGGAAATCTTAAGGTGTTTAATTCCCAGTGCAACACTGAAAATATGTGCGTTGACACGAGTGAGCCCCTTAACTGTGCAGAGCAAACATGGCTCCACTCTGGGAGTGTTGGCTGTCTGTTAAGGATGTGCAAACCTGTTTCCTAGTTGGGCCCCAGTTTAGCGAACTTTACCGGCTTTTGGAGCAGGCATCTCCAGATGGCTGAATCCAGAGCAGCTCGTGGTAATGGTGGTTTTTCACAACCCAGATCCATTTTCCTGGTGCCTGACACCCCCCTGCGATCTGTTTCCTCTGCTGATTAGGCTTGGCCTCCCATTTTTTCCCCCAAAAACAGAAAAAAAAGACAAGCTCTTGGATTGATTAACTGTCTGCTACAACGGTCAGACATCCCCGGGATTTTTGCTCACTAACGCTCACTCATAACAGAAGTGCCTGAGGGTTTTTTTTCCTGTCAGTCTGCAGCAGCCTTAGCTGCTCGGTGTTTCACTACGAAGATTAGCGTTAGGTTCTTAGATTTTTGCGTCATCTAAAACAACATGTAATTCAGTGACTCATAGATATCATTACATCTTTTCACAGAGCATTCGAAGAACTTGGAACTTCTGTTTTCAGGCACACAGCGCCCCTGTCCAGAACGGTGACCGCCGTGGCTCCCTGCAACCCCTTCATGAGACCCGTGCTTCCTGTCTGGTGCACGAGCGCCACAGCAAGACTTTAGACAAACGAGATGAGAGAAGGGCTCGAAGGTGTCAGCTTCCTATTCACGCCATCCAATCTGTTTATATGAATACATCTACGATGATGTGATGTCAGTGAGTTATTCAGAGTGAGTTAAAGAATAATGAGATGCCCCATTATCATAATTTCCCTGATTTAGATGAGTGGTTTTCTAACTCTGGGTTGCATTGTCCTCTTAAATATTTGCTCTCTCTCACTGACTCGCTTGCTTGCTCGTTTACTCTATGTGTGTGTGCGTCTGTCATGAAGGGCAAAGAGAGGGGCGAAATATTGAGGAAAGTCAGGATTTTTAGCGCTATCGTTACATTTTTAACAGTATACAAATTACGGCAGCTTTACAGATCCATTATGACTAAACAGGCTAATCTGCATTCAAAATGCTGTCTGTGGGCTTCAGTAAATACATCGCTTAGATTTCTGTAGATGCGACTGTAATGCACATTGACATTATTATGATGTGCCTGGCAGCAATAGCTTTATGTCTGCGGTTAGTGCAGCTTGACGCTTAGACAGGAAATAGGGATGAGATGGTTTTCCTGTTTCTCTTCATCTATACTTTGTTTAGATTTACATTTCATGAGGATTTTGTACTTAAGCACAAAGTTGATACACGTGAGGACTTTGGGTTGTGTGATCACTAATATGTGCATCTTTTCTTTTTAATTATTGTAAATTTAGTGTAATTTGTGTTTTATTTAGCTATTTATTGTTGCACTTCCAAAAAATGAGGGCACTCAAAAGAGATTTAGATTAAAAATAATAATAATAAAAAATGTTTTTAAACTGAGAAGCCTAGAAAGTCCTAATTTTTGACATGAAGACTTTGGAGGCAAAAGTTACTTACTGCTTTAATGCTGCTAACCTCACCACAGAACAGCAGCAGCTCGCTGGCCCAAGCGAAAGCATGAAAAAAACATTACCCTCACACGTAGGCCCCTGACCTCTGGACAGACACATTTGACTCCCAAATATAGACTGAAAAGAAATGTAGGCAAGTCTGCAAATATCATCCATTGTGTCTTGTTTAATGACCCTAAACTGCCTTTGAACTCCGTCAGTCCTGTTTCATGCTGATATTTGTCCAAAGCAGTCTTTACACAGCGAGAAATATGATATCAGCTCTCCATCAAACCCATCACATACGAAGAACTGCACAACTTCCAACATAGTTGTCAAAGTAACAGAGCATTATTAAGTGCAGTAATCTCTCTCTCTCTTTTTTTAAAAGATGTTACCAGTTAATGCATCGCTGAGAAAATTGGTAAGTAAAGTGAATTATGTGCATGGAAAGGTTAAGATTTATCCCTTTTCCTTTATGCTGCTGCGACTCCAGTGAATCTAGAGGCAGCAGCCTTCCTTTTGGCACGATATCAGCTCACGGCTCTGTTGGTGATTGATGTCTAACAGCCACAGATTATTATGCTAAACAACTTATGCTAAAAAAAAACAGCTGTTAGTTTTGTTAAAGCGAGCCTTTTCAGTTGTAATTACTGTTGTTTTGCATTAATTTTATGACTTTTGAAAGACACTAGAAAGTTGAGGAACATGTTAGGCAATTAACTCCTTGGCTTTCTTGCACAGTTAGATAGCAGGACTCTCTTAACTGCTTAGCTTAGCGTACAAATGCATGAAATTGCAGAGGACAACGGCACCTTTTAAAGCTCACTATTTAACCCCTAATAATGTGGCTGTCTGCAGCCATGTTTCCAGTATTTATTTCACCTGGTGGTACAATACATATTCAGCGTACAACACGACAGTGGTAATAATCTTGAGAGTGAGACGGCCTCACTGTATAGCACCCAATTTACTTTGTGTTTAAGACCAACAAGACTACGTAAGACTTCTCATAGCAATCATAACTCTATTTGCTAAAAACCTCCTCCTCCTCCTCCAGCTTAGATTTTCCAGCCTGTGGTCTGAATCTCATCACCGGCTCCTTTTCAAAACAGGCTCACAAACACCATGATTGATTCAGCCACTATCCTCCAGGATCTCTCAATGCTTGCCCGAGCTGCAGATTAATTTCCTTTTCCTCATCTTAATTTTTACTCATCGCCGCTCCATAAAAAGGCTAAATGTCAAGCATGCCTGACTCCTTCTAGTGACACGTCTATTCCAGCAGATAATTACCATAAGGAAATTGATGCTTTAGTGTGCAGAGGGGAATTTAATTTACTCTGACATCCTCGCAGCATAATGCATTCCTAAAGAAAGAGAGTTTTTCACTTTGCAATTGACTTTTTAGATAAATTGGACTATTTAATGTGATTATCGGTCTTGAACGTCTTTGACTTATTAAGGTGTTGAAACCAATTAAGGGTTACATGCTGCTCATGCTTCCAAATGTGAAACAGTGAATACTGCTTAAAGATCCATGAAATAAGAACCGTCCGCAGCCTATTGTATGTTAGTCAGCCGGCTACATTGCCTGATGATGTTTTGAGGCTTGCTAGATAATGATATTAATTACAACAACATGGCTTGCTTCAGATTGTGGATTAACCTGAGAGAGCAAAAGGTTCTGTGCAGTTTGAGTCACACTCCATGCATGTCGCATGTGTCATTTTCGATGCTACAGAGTTATAATAACCTTATAAAACCTTGAAGTTTGAGAGCATTTCCAAACGACCAGTAAGAATTGAACAAGTCAGGCATTAGAGGGAAGATCTGAATATTGATCCCACTTCTGTTGGTACTTCTCTAAAATTTCGGCTGAAGTGAAGCTGCTGTGTCACTGAACGGGACAGCATCTCTTATCGCAGGCGATCACAGCCATGAACCGACATCTTCGAGGTCGCCAGTAGCGCTGAGTCACATTTTTTGTCCCAGCCTTCCCTTTGCGCGACTTCTGGAGTTAACCCATCCTGCAGCGTGTTCACACCTTTGCATGTCATGCGTTAAAACGGACCTTACAGAAGAAAAAAAGCAGCACCGACTGTGAGGCTATGAGGAAGTCAGCGAGCATTGCTGCAATCCATATTATGGCCATGAAGACACAGCAGGCCGCATTGCTCCTGCCCAAAGTTCCTCCTTTTGCAACCAACTGAATGCTGTGTTTCTTAGGAGATAAGGGCAGCCTCCCGCGAAAGGTGACTCAGCAATCCAGCCACACGGCCTCTCCTGAGATAAGAGCCCTCTTTGGGGCATGTGGGACACTGGGAAAAAACCGCCACAAGGAGAAAGTGAAAATAGTGGAGTATAAACTATCACATATTCTGTAAAATGAAGTGCAAACTCGTCCAACTTAATCAGTTAGGTTCATTTATACATGTAAACACAGCTGATCAAGCAGGGGTTCAAACTGAACTACATTACAAGCTCCGCCATGAGATACTAGTGACGGGACATATCTCAAATTGAGTTTTAAAGTCGACGGTGGTGTGCAATTCCTGTTTTATTTGGAATTTTCTTCATTTTCAGTCCAAAATGTATATTTATTTGAACAAATTCAGACTCCATATGTGGGCAGTCCGCTCTGGAGTCACCTATAGGGCTGCTTTAGAAGCTGCCACACAGGTTAGCAATAAAACAAACTGTAGGCCAGAAAGCATCTTAGAAATACAATGTTGTATAATGGTGTGTGCGGCTGTCACCGGGCAGCAGTTGCGTGTGTGTTATCGCCGTACTGTAAGCAGATGTGATAGCTCGACTTTGAGAGCATGTGAGCTGTCGCCGCGTTGGAACTGAGATGATTGACTTTAATGTGAATGCTGGTAGCAGTGGCAGCATCTGAAACTAACACATCTAATACACTTGGAGCCGGTGGCCCAGTGTTGGTTTGTAGATTCCTGCTCATGAAACCAGAGGGAAAACCACATTTCAGTAAATTAATGCATATCTGAATGATGATCTGCTGCAGGACTGAGAGAGGATGCACTTACTGTACACGCATTTTAAAACAGGAAGTAATAAAGGAGGCTAATGTTAAGAGATGCAACTGTTTGCTCAGGCTCAGACGTAATCCTGATTGTGTACGCTGCATTCGTGCTGTGTTAAGGTACAGGACAGGAGGCTATGACACTAGAGGTAGCACAGAGAGGTGGGGGTGGGGGCATGGGGGAAGCAAACTGGATGAAACATTAAATAGAAGAAGAAGAAAAGCTCATTATATGGGAAACACTTGTGTTAATTTCATGGACTGCTTCAGAGTGCCAGAACAGGTGACAGAAGGGGAGCTGTCCAATATGCAAGTGAGGAGTAACCCCCCCTCCCCCTCCCTCCAGCCCACACTACCCCCCCACCTCCCCCAACCCCAATCAGCTTCTTCGGTGTGAATGAAATAAATAAACAATGAATGGTCCACTCTCCTCGCTCGCCTCATCCCATCTCATGCATGGCTGCCAGTGATGGTCTACTGGGTGTCAGCTTTTATTGGCACGGCACAAAGCAAGTGCCAGGGGTTCGGTGGCCCGACTCCCCACTGCAGACTGTGGATAAAAGCAAGCAAAATGCCTCAGCCGAGCTGAGAGACATAGTCATGTTGGGCTGGAACGAGGAAGTGCAGTGGAGAGGGGAGGGACTCAGGGCGCAGCTCCATGGGGCCGCCGCGGCGCTGCGACCTTCTGCACATGGAGCCGGGGAGAGTTGGAAGAACTTCATACTGCAAACTCAAGGAATAGCAGGTAAAGTGACTTCAACCGCACATTTCAGCTCGGCTCTCACCTCAAAGGCTAGGCCAACACCTCTAAAGTGATTTCGATGGCAGTGAAATGGTTTAGGAGACATTTGCGCCTGACTGGAAAAGACTCTCCTTATAGTTTCGGTGCAGGTGCGCCTCAGCATCAAGGTCCCGTTTGATGCGCGTAATGTTCTTCTGCCACAGAGTTTATAACGGATTAAATAACAAGACTGTATTTCAGTAATATATCGGGGAAAATATATTGTTTTTAAAGCGTTGTCTGTGTCTGTAAGCTACGAGCAGTAATTTAAAGGAAGTAGAGGGAAATGTTCCCCATTTTCCTTGCGTCTTTCTCTCTCTCTCTCTCTTTTGGGAAATATGGATAAATTATTTTCCAATTAATTCGACTTCTATAAAAATCCGAATCACATTTTCTTTAAGAATTCATACAGATCGGCTCGGGGCTCATTATCATTTTAACTCGTTTAACTGTTTTTCCCTCTTCGGCTACGGCACCTGTTGCAACAGATGTGCGCACTCTGTAAACTTTAGGGCCCTGTTTTAAAAGTGCCTCAAGTTTATTAAGATATTTAAAATAAACTTTTTTTTTCAGGAAATAATTTTCTTTAAATTGTTGAAAGCGCAAAATTGACCGGGGCCTAAACTAATGCGAACATGTTTTTTGCTTAAACAGGAAATCAGTACGCACCGACTAAACGCGCTCTCCCGAGCGGCTCGAGTTTACACACAAATCAGTCGCTCTGAGCATTTCTCGTTCCGTTAATCTTTGTGTCGGCCTGTTCAGAATCGAACCGCAGTCTCTGTTAGCCGGTAAGGCGTCTGTGTGAAGGGAAGAAAACAGGCAGGACTGATGAAACTTTTCACGCTGCTGACGCTCAAAGGTGAAAACGTTGCTCATCAACGCCCAGGCAGAAAACTGAAAGATTCACCGCCGAAGAGATGGGGGGAAATGATCGGGTTTTTTTCTTTTTAAACGCGATAAAAAACAGAAGTCCAAGAAAGCTGAGTTTCCTCAAATATATATATTTAACCCTTCTCTAAATTATTATTTATTAACTATAATTAACTGTGTGTTTAAAAAGTGGTGTGTGTGAGACGTAAAATAAGTTGGCATTAATTACATTTTTTTAAACTTGGAAAGCATCTTTCTCTGATGTGTCCTATTTTTTTTTTATTAACACATTTCAAGTTTACGGTCAAGCAGAAAAAAATATATTTCTCCGCAAATGTAAAGCAGTTATCTACTTTAACAAGAAATGTAAGATAATAAATAAACTACACGAAAAGTCAAATAAAATAGCAGAAAACTCATTTTTGATTTCTGAACTTGAAAACGGAGCTCAGTACCTGCGCACATAGGGCTTTTTTCATAGCTCAGTTGGAAAGAGAAGTGCTGAAAGTGCTGCAAATCTGTCTGCAGATACATCATCTTTCTTGTCAGTAGAAACAGAAGTAGGAGGGGGGTGTGAAAGGGGGAGGGGGGTGGAGGGGTTAGAGGAAGACAGGCAGTTATTAAAATGATTGTACTGTCTGAATAGCAGAGTAGTGAAGTGTGTCAGATGCAAATGAAGGAAACTTCTTCTTCAGCGCACCTTTGCTCTCCCACCACCACCACCACCACCCTCCTCCAATGATAGACTCCCAGAACACATCTGCTAACACTATCTGCCCACTTCCACCCATACATTTCATGAATTACTGATGAGCATCTCTGCGTGCACACACGAACAGAGGTGTCCGCGCGCCACGTTGCTTGGCAGTGTGGGATCATCTCTTTTCCTCGTTATTGATAAGAAGGCGCCCACGGCGGTGTTACTTATTGCAAAACTCACAGGACGGATTGTTATTATTTGAGATGTTTTTCGATAATTGTCACTCAGACTGTTCAGTTAAAAGTGGAAAGTCTGAGTGGAGCGTATGAGTAGAAATCACTCAAAGTGGGGCTCCTGATGTGAGGCGAAGTGTGATGAAGCTGCATTCACATAGCCGTGTCACAGCACTGCTGTTTCTCTGCAGATATAGTTTAATTTATTTAAAATATTTAATTGCTGCCAAAAACTATAAGTATAAACTTGTTTTAAAAATACTGGGCCTTCAGTCATATTTATGATGTTTAATCAGTAGAAAGTTCCAAGTGAAACTCTCAAGAAGTGTCACTTTAAAAAAAAATCCTTCATATTTTCAGTTTGTTTTAACTGTGCACTAATCTAAACACACACAGACACGCCACAGTGTCAGCTTTCTCCAGGGTATCCAGACTTTGCTGGTGTGGTCCTCAGTATCTGTTAACGGTTTCGTGTGTTTCTCATCTCCACCCTGCTCCCTGGTGTAGCTTTGCACCTCGCTACCCCCACCCCCAGCGACACACCGCCACAACCATCCACCAAACACACACACACACGCACGCACACGCATGTACAAACACACAGGAGGAGGACCGAAAATTCTGTCAACCCACAAGCCTCTTCCTGCCTCTCCTCAGTTGACGTACTCCGACCAAAACTGTTCCAGTCCCCCCTTTGCGCTCTGTGTTAGAAGTCTTTTCTGTGACTCCTATTTCACCGCCTGAAAGATTCCACCTGCCCCCAGTTCGTACACTCATACACTTTGACACTCGTACGCCAACGCACACACACACTCACACACACACACACACACACACACACACACAATAATTTCACTCTGATTTGAGAAGGAGAAGCATTAATAAGTCTGGATAGTTAGATGGAAATGTTTTAGTCGTGCTCCGGCTTTTATCAAAAAGTTCTACTTTCAGTCCGAGTCTTAACTTGATGATCACCAAATGCCAAAAGTATGTTAAAGTAGAAGCACTAAAAGTAAAAACAGAGCTGTCGGTAAACACAAGGAAAAAGTGCCATGAGTGTTCTGAACAAAAAAAAAGAATTTCCTGAATATTCTACGTGCACTTTACTTTCCACATGCCTACGCAAGTGGGTTGTGGCTGAATGTAGGAACTCTCTCTCCTTTTTCTAAACTTCTGTCAAAGCCCCCCCGCCAACACATCCGTGTTTCCCCTCTCACCATCTGCCCAGAAAAAAAGGGCACATGAGAATACACCTCCCTCTGCCCCCGACCTGCAAACTCCAGATGCTGAGGAACGGCGCTGCCGAGTCGTCGCTCGGCGCAGTACACACGCAACACCACCGTGTTATGCTGAACAAATCATCTGCACCAGTGACCTATGCTCCCCCCCACCCTCCCTCGCCACCCTTTCTCCCTCCTCTCGCACTTGCATCCTGAGTGTCTTGCAGGCCTTTGAGCTCCTGACTTGACTCCGCAGAATCTTGCGCGTTGCGACAGAGCGGCCCCGTTGCTTCCCACTATTTGTTCCAAATGTGTGGAGCCATCTGTCAGTAAAACAGGAAGGGCTAGGTTCCCCTTCTCCCCTGGGTTTGTTTCGCTATTTTCGGGAGCTTCACTTCTCCCTGTGTGGCTGCTTGGACTGGGCAGCGGCCCCACCAAGGGCTTCTTGAAGTGGCGGAGCTGGGGCTGAGGCTGTCGGGCCCATCTGCTGCAGGCTTGAGGGCCATCCATTATTAATGGGGCCACGAGCATTGGTGACTCCTCAGATATGCAGCCCTGGCCGGAGGAGCGCTTCTGGACTCGATTGCCTCTTCTTGCTAAAAAAAAAAAAGGTGGGGGGGAGTGTAAAAATAAATAAATAAATAAAGAGAAGTTCTCTGTCCTTCTGCCTGCCTTTCTGTCTCTTTTCTTTTTCTGCACCTTCCTCTGACTTTTTGCCCTTTCACAGCCTTCTACTTCTCTCCATGCACATCTCGCAGCCTTTCTCTCATCTCCTTCTTCTTCTCTCTCTTTTCCCTCCCTCTCTTTGTTTCTGATTGTGGCTTGCGTGTGTCTGCACTCAGGCCGCGGGCTCAGCGATGCATGCTCAGTAAATTAGAGAGAACACGAACGCCGATCAGCTGGGCACGGCAAACACCCGCATCCCCGGTGACCTGGGGCCAGTTAATTTTCTGCTTAATTTTGCGGCAGTCAGTTTGCATTTTGGGATGATTATGTGGCAGGAAATTAACAATAAATAACAAATGTGGTCTGAAAGCCTATTCCCGGCAACCCCTTGCTACTGGCAGGGCCCCCATCAGCCGGGGCCCGAGCTGCTCTCCATGCTCCGTCTTTCTGTCAGACTTGTAATGAAAATGTCTGTAATTCTTTGTAATGTAATGTGAGGGAGAGTGGTGTATCTGCGGCTGTGACAAGAGCGATCTCAGCGAGGTTATGGAGTCACGCCGAGAAGTACACCCTTTTACTCCACTCTAGCTTTTTATAACGTTGTTTCCTGCGCCTGCACTTGATTAAACTTACACGCACCTACATCTCTATCTTTCTCCCATTAGAGTACTTGCACCGCATGGAGACAGAGGAGGCCCAGGAAATAGCCCAGATGCCAGGTAAAAGCTCGCCTACTGCATGATTGAGCTGTAGAATGCACAAAGTAGATACAATAGGCCCACAAACAGGCTCTTACAGGACGGAGAGGTAATTTTGCTACCCCTGAATGAGTCATGTCGCGGGGGTTGCGTAGTGAGTGATGGGTGTTTGCTGGTGTGTGTCTCTACCCCAGACAGGGACAGTCCCCCTGCCAATGAAGCGTCCGAGGAGGCAGAAGAGCCCATGGCTGTCCCTGAAGACCTGTCAGCCGGCTCCACCCAGCAGCAGAACAACCGAGGGGACAAAGGTAACTCAAGCGCAGCCTGACCGTCACCGCTGCTTCTGTGAATTAAAATGAAAGTTAAAAAAATCAGTGTGTGATAGCAAAATTATGTTGACGTATTGAATATATCCCATGAAGCGGCAATCAAAAACAAGCCTAAACGACTGCAGTGCCCTTCCCAGCAGTAGTCAGACGTATCATTCCCAAAGCATCCAAATCCGAGTAAAGCGATAAGTGAAAGTAATGTGAGGATCAAAAGTGTGACATATATGTTAAAAAAAAAGCATAAAATTAATCAAATGAACATCCAGTGGGAGATATTTGCTGTTCCAAATCCCTTGGAAAAATTAATTTAAAGCTGCAAAGAGACACATTTAGGTCATTGGCAGGAAAGGTAAAAAAAAAAAAATCCCTTTGATCCATGGCACGTCATTAATAAGCTGAATCTTAAGGAATAGCTAATGTGGCCTTGATTTGAGTTTGCAAACAGCAAGCCAGGGAATCTCATGGTGAAAATCAGGATGGAGAATGCAAGGGGCACTCACATCAGTGACATATGTTTATCTCAAGTCTTCTAACATGGGCGGTTTGTGAAACAGGAAATGTTTACTGGTCATTAAAGGCTGATCAGTTTTATATGACAGCAAGATAACCGGACATAGCATTCACCTTTCATAGGACAAACAGCATAGATTGTGTGTATTGTGCATTTTTAATGTCAAAAACATACTTTCATCTACTGAATGAATCACTTGAAATGTTTATATATCACATATAGGAGATAGAATGCAAAAAAAAAAAAGACAAAATGGAATGGCTCAAAATTGACCATCTTATCAGTATTTTTCCACTTACATCCAGATAACGGCAAAGATTAGCAGCGCACAGTCAAAAATAAGATGTGAGAGGAAACTGAAATAGGATGTGTAAGAGTTTCCTAAGAAGAACTTGCCATCAGGCAGTTTCAACACTCCTGGAGATAAAGAGTTCAGGAACGGGGCCAAGCTCGGAGAGCGCATCACCGCACCACATAGGTCGCACACCTGCTTACTCACAAAGGCTCTCTCTTTCCTACTTTTGAGCTGTCAGGTGCTGAACCCGACACAGGCAGGAATCTGTGAGTCTAAACAATCAACACGTGTTCAGCCGAGTAACGGAGGATGTGTGTGGAACCGCGTTTTACATCACACATGCACGTCTTAGTCAACCGAAGAAAATGGGAAATGGTCGGCGTGAGCATTATCTAAATGTTTGACTTTCATTGGCAGCCTGTAAAGAAGGGAAAGAAGGTGCAGCTGGGTGTATGACTTTATGTTCTGCGTGCGAGTTTCTTTTCAATCCCTTCGCACGAGTGTGTGTCTATATAAGGGACAGAAAGAAAGAAGGGAAGTGCAAGTATCTGGTACATCTATGCATCACTGCCTCAGTGATAAGAGCCCAAATGAGTTATAATTATCGCCCAGGATCATGTGCTGCTCAGTTCTCTTTAGTGAAAAAAGAGGGGGGACTATATGTGGGACATGGGACCTCAAAGTATCGAAAGCTTAAAACCTCGAAACCCAGGTTATTTCCTGTTGCAAGTGAGTCTTTATAGCCTGGGAACGTCATTGTTGGCGCACATTCGCTGTGGTACAAGCTACACATGTATGACTACACGCACGAAGGAGGTTAATATGTGACGCCTATTTAACCATTTCGTGAAAGAAACGTTTTTACCGCCTTGTGTTTCTTACACCGAACATAAGCCCAGAGACTCGGTTAAAGTCACAAGACTGTAAGATGACCTTCACAACATCCCAGTGAAATGATTTCGCTTTCATTTTCAGTGATTCAGATAGGTCCTCGGCTATGTCAGAGACATGAGACTGAGAGGGAGACTGAGCGGTCTAGTTCCCGAAAGCATGGAGGCGAGTTTAAAAAAAAAAACGAAAAAAAAAACGAAAAAAAAAAACTGTGTGAGGGCAAAAAGCAGGCTG